GGAGTGATCCAGGTGTCCAAAGCACTTGGGCTGGTTCTTTTTGCAGCTCCTGCTCCTCCAGCACCCACCTCACCTTGAAAATTGAGTGTAACACTAATGAAAAACCCCATAATCCAGTCTGAAAGGCAGGCTGATAATCCTCTGTGAGATTTAACAACAAAGGTCATGTTGAGAGGAGTGATTTGTCAGCAGCACTGGCACAAGGAGTGGGTGGAGCAGATTGGATCATGGAATCACCATCCCAGAATAATTTGGGCTGGGAGAGACCTGAAAGAACATTTAGTTCCAGGACATCTTCCACTTGCACACTTCCTGGTGTGGCGCTGATGCCCCAAGGTGTGCTGAGATGATTCCCTGTGGGAATTGCTGGCAGGAATCAGCTGCCAGGAGCTCTCCAGCCAGGGCAGGAGGATTTGAGGGTGTGTGAGCACAGGCTGTGCAGAGGAGCAGCTGGTGGGAAACAGAGCCAGGGCTGCTGTTCAAGCCAGTGTCCTACAGTAGTTGTTGAGCTTGGAAAGCCACTCCACAGGGATTTTCATCCTTTGATGGGGATAGTCCCCAGTAAGTCATTAACAAATGGAATCTCAGTGTCTGCCTTTTGCTGAGGAGTGAATTTTCTGTGTGTGTGCAGATCTGTGGATGATCCTGATGAAAGATGATCAGATTGTGCAAAGAGGGCTCTGAAGAAAAACAAAAATGAGTTGAAGCCCCACTCTGCTTTTCAGAAGGCAGCTGAAGAGCTGGCAGTTTACAGCTAGAGCTGATTAAACCTGCATTGACTTGCAACCATCATTACTATAAATCACTCCTCTTCAAAGGCCATTTTCAAGGCCGTGCTGTAAAAAGAAGAAAACTCAAACCCCACAGTCCTAATTGGTTTCATTTGTGTTTGAAGACTTCTTACTTGCTTTTCCAGTCCTCTGACAAGCTTTTTTTTCCTTTTAACAGCTGCCTATAAATTAGGGCAGTTGTTTTACTGGTAGCAGTGATATAAAAGCTGCCACAGCTCCACAGTGGGAGTAGGTCCCTAATTAATCTCATGGAATCATGGAGTTGAGTCATGACAGTGTTTTTGATGTTGCTCAGAGCTTCTAAATGTCTTTATATCCAGGAGTCTCCCAATCCAAGCAAATTCCAGTGGAGTACAGCTGCTGTAGGATGAGGTGGTTTCTTTGATGGGCTGATTATTTCCTGTAGGTACTGGATGAGATGCCAAGGTCCAGGGAATCCCTCTCAGGATATTCCATGAAAACACAGAAACTTGGAAAAAAGGTCAGGAAAGTGGGGCTGCATCTGAGCTAAAGGAAAAGCCTCGCTCAGGACAAGGATGTGGAGGTTGAGAGAGGCTTTAGGATAAGCCTGGCTGTTCCCAGGGTGGTGTTTTCCTTGCTGTAAGGAAAGCAGGATCTCATTACACAGTGCCAATTGTTGTGGTGAACAATGGAGTTCTTTCTTTTTTTTTTCCAAATATTCCAAGAGTTCTGCTTTGTAAAATGCTTTTGTGATCAGCTCAGGCTGTGTCTTGACAAAGTCTTCCCTGCTGAGCTGAGTCCTTCTCCCTGAGGGAGGAAGTGTGGATTTGATGATGCCAATGGGGTTTTTTTTGACCTGCAGATGGTGGAAGAAAGCGAGGAGAGGCTGACAGAGGAGCAGATCGAGTCCCTCCTGCAGACAGTCACCAACATCCTGCCAGGGGATCCAGAGGAACAGCAGAGGGACTCAGCAATGGCAACAGAAGACAAAGGTGACCAGGCATAGCAGGCAGCACTTCCAGAAGAGAACCAGCTGCTGTTAGTCTGAGTTTCATACCAGTTCAATCCTGTACTGGACATAACTGTAAAATATATTCACATTTTTATGATTTGGAGGTGATGAGGGAACCAATTGTTCATAAGGAAGCAGGAAAAAGGACACTATTGTTTGGGTGTTTTGTCATAAACGGGGGTGGCAGTGCCAGGGTTTGCAGTGGAGCAGCCTGAGGAGTGCTGGGGCTCAGCATCTTCTGGGATTTTTCCATTCCCCACGGAATCAGCACAGAAGTGCTGCAATGAGAATTCTTTCCAGTTGCCCAAGTGGCTTCCAGAGCAGTGCAAAGCCAATTTTGGAGCTGTTTGTAGAGCAGGACATGGCCAGGGATGTACAGGAGCTCCTTGGGTTCTGGCCAGGCACTCCCAAATCTTGGCATCATGGAATTGAGAGGATCCGTGGGAGGGCAACTGAAGGATGTCTGATAGTCCCTTCTAAATAAAAGAGATCCAGATTCAGCAAATTGCACTGAAACCAGGGAGCTGGGGGGAGTGAAGCTGTGAAATCAAAGCTGTGAGTGCCCAAACAGCAGAATACTGAGGTGTCTCTTTGCCCTCTGAACATTTATTGCAATATTTACACAGACAAGGCACTCCTGTGATGGAGGAATAAATGAGGCAACACTGAGCTCTTGATCTGGTTTGGAAAAATGAGAGTCAGGCCTGGATGAAGCAGAATTTCCTGAGCCTTTTTGTCTGATGAAGGATTTCAGGATCAAGTATTTAATGTGGAAAGCCTTTGTGATTATAATAAATCATTTGTGTGTGAATATCCACACAAAGCCAGCTACTGGTTTAAGTTGTGGCTGCAGACCATTCGTTTATAATTATTATGATGTATTGGAAAGAGAAATAAAATTTTAAGTACATCCTGGGAGTTTTGTGACTTACAGACGAGATCAAATCACAATAGCTGACTTTTTCTTTCCCCTCAGCTCTGTCATGGGTTTATTCTGTGTTTTTATGCAGAGAATTTGTGCTTTCTGAGCTTCAGTTGTGCAGTGTATGAAAGGGACTGATAAATTCCAGTGTCTGGGGGATTTGTCATATTCGTTTCCATGGTATTTAAGCTTCTTTGATGTTTGGAGAGGAAAGAAAATTATTGGGAAAATGTATTTGTTGCCTCTTAATTTATCATGCATTAAATGCCTTCCAAAGCTGGAGACTAAAGGTACATTTAGACTGCATTTGTTTAGTGTTGGAGGGGGAAAATCCTTGATGGGTTTGTGATGTATCAATGTATATTTTTCTCTCCAAAAGGGAAAGAAAACAAGAGATAAGTGGATCATAGCATGGAAAGACACTCAATTAATATTAAATCAACATTTTTATTCACAGCAGCCCCTGATGTTGTTTGACAGCCTGCAGCCTTGGGCTGCAAGTGTTTACATTTTGATCTGCCCTTTCCTAAAATGAAATTATTGAGATTTGTACTGAACATATCAAAAGCAGCTGGAAGCAGACTGTAAAATATCTTCAGCCAACAAGAACAACTCACCAGATCCCTGAAGTTGGGTGTTCCATCCTGGGAATTGATTTGTTGCTGGGCTGGATTTTTGCCAGCAGCTGTGTGGTTCTGGGGGTGCTGTACAGGATGCAGGAACTCCTCACTTGCTGCTGGAGTGAACCTTTCTATCTGTATCAGTTCCAGATGTTAACAGCTGTTAGCCCTCTGTAAATCCATCAATGGCTTGTAAACAATAATTCCCCTAAAAATCCAATGCTGAGCAACATTTGAAAGGCTCTGGGCTTGTGGCATGTGCATGACATCAAGAAACGAGTTTTAAACCTGCTGCCTGTAAATTCGGGTGAGGATTTACTCTGAGGCCAGGTTTGAGTTGTGTTGTTTGATCTTTTCTGTGTCAGAACCCCCAGATCAGAAATGATTTATGCAGATACCACCTTGCTGATGTGACACCGTTTCCCAATGTCCTGAATATCGCACAGAAGATCTGCCAGTATCCCACATTTCTTTTTAGTCCCTTAATTATCCTCTTAATTAACCATTCCCCACCACAGGAGATGGACCCTCCTAATTCTTGGAACAGAGAAAGTGGCACTGAGTGGCTCTGGGTGTGCAAGAAAGGTAACTGTGTGTTCTGAGAAGAAACTGAGCATTTCCTGAATATTTAAGAAGTGGATATTACTTTTAGTTTTCTCATTTCTTATCTGTCCCTCACTTTTTTTCCCTGTTGTGTGTGTTTGGCTCTGCTCAGGGCTGCTCTTGTGCTGAGAAAGGGGAATGAGCTGCCAGAATTCCTGATCTGATACTTCAAAACACCTGGGCTTTCTCTTCTCATCAATTCAGATTTCTTGAGGATTCTTTGGCAGTCCCTGCTGGAGTAGTTTCATTAGAAGAAGCTTTGTTTTATGGAAGGAGAAGGAGCTGCTGCTCCTGCCTGGCTGTGCTCTGGTGCTGGGCAAGGGGAATGGATCTGCTGGAACCAGATGTGCACAGGGAATTTTGAGGAAGATCCAGGAAATCCTTCCTGCTGAGCTGAGCAGCTTTGGTGGAGCTCAGGGCTGTGTGTGAGGCTGTGCCTGTGGTGGTTTGTTTTTTGGTTTTTGTTTTTGTTTTTTAAGGTCAGGATTAAATGTGTGAGATTGTATTTCTTGTTTGGACTTAGATGTTTGTTTGTTCTTATCTATATTATATTCTTGTAGACTGTGAGTTCTACAGTACTTCATTCTAACAAAATAAAAATAGAGCTGTATCTTTCTCTTTACAAGGCTTTTTAAGGATAAACTGCCTAATTAAGAAATGATACATAAATTACTTTTACTTTTAACTTAGTAACTAATTACTCATGGCCTGCTATGCAGACTTTTTTATCTAATTACACAATACTATCTAAGCTCAAGAAGGTGAAGAAGGACCAGTCTCTGCCCTAAAACTTCTGTCTTATCAAGCTTTTTACATATTACTTTAAAATATATATTTTATTATATATATTTATATTTTTTAATATGTTATTATATTCTAAAACTTTTACGTTTTCTACCATGTGATATTACACACTTCTATTCAAACTACACACTTAGAATCCCAGTTCTATCATTCAATTTTGGAAGCTTTCTCCACAGCCTCAGGTGAAAGGCAGTGTTCTCTTGGGGGTCAGTGCCTGTCAGCAATTCTCAGCAGCCAGGGTTCCAACTTGTGCCCACCACTGAGTGCAGAATGGGACAAGCAGGGAGCAAAATCCATGTGGTTTGTATTAGTGTGGGTGTTCATTAGCTAAAGGTGAGCAGCCTTAGGCAGGAAAAGCAAACCCACAGAATCTGGAACTTTGGGGTTTTTTTTTGGAAGCAGATTGACTTCAAGCAGCACTGAAGTGGCTCACACCTGATGAATTCACACTTTGCTCTCCACCCCGTTGGAAATTTGTGGTTTTCCCAGTTGATGGTTGGAGGGGGAGGATTTGCTTGACCCTGCTGGAGCTGGGGGTTGGACTCTGTGATCTCCTGAGCTCCCCCTTTTCTCTCAGTGCTTTCCCTTCCTCCAGCCATGGATTCAGGGTTTCAGCTCCTTCAGGCTGCTCTCACTGAGGGCTGGGATGCAGAAATCTGGGATTTGCTCCCTGTTTCCCTTCCCATGCCTGCCTGGTCCCTGGGCAGGTGGGAGCCTGGCCTGGCACGGTGCAAATCCTTCATTTCTGGGATGTGGACAGAGGGAAGAGGGCAAGCTGGCAGGGCTTGCAGCAGGATTTGGTGTCAGCACTTCCTTGGGGCTGGAATTGGGGTTTGTGGGCAGCTGAGGCTGTTCCAGAAGAGGGATGAGTGGAATTTCAGGGTGATCTTAACCACAGTTTTCTCTTAAATTTTTCTTCATTTGGGCAAAATTACTCCACAACGCTCTGCACTGCCTTAAATTTGGCCCAGTCCAGAACCATTCCCTTGCCAGGTGCACCCTGGCTGTGCTGGGCCCCTCCAGCTCAAACTGGGATTATTCTGGATCCTGCTTTTGAAACACACACATGCACACACACACGGATATTTTTCTGTGCTGCATTTTCTGTGATGAAATTTTTTATTGCTTCTGCCTGCCCTGGGGTGGCAGCTGTGCCAGGGCAATGTGCAGACAGCACGTTCTGCATCCCAGAAATTGCCTGCCTTCCTTGGCACCACTTCCACTTCCCTGTGCTCCACAGGCTTGGGAAGCAGCAGCCTCAGCTGGGAGCTAAACTTGTGACACACTTTGGGTTTTGGCAGAGAGGAGTCAGGAAAGGCTTTGTGCACCTCAGCCTGGCCAATGTCAGGCTTTTCCTATTTTTTTCTTTTATTGCTACCCATAACCAGAGTGGAATTTTACCCCTGGGGATGTGCTGGAGGCTCTAAATGTGGACTAGAGAGATTTTTGCCAGGTGTAAAAGAATCTCCCAAGTCTTTTGCCTGTGAAGGTGGGAGAGGAACCTGAGGGCTTTTATTGGCAGCTGTGGGTCAAGTATCTGCTCTTGTACAGGGCTGAGAGGATTCTAAATAATTGCTGGGGGTTTTTTTATTAATTTGATATTTTCAGTTTTCTGACTGCCCCAGACCAGGACAGGGATGAGCAACACACGCTGAGCTCCAAAATTTTTGGGGTGGACAAAAGGCAGGTGAGATTTGGAGAAATGTGCAGAGCAGGCACCTTGGACTCTGCAGGCATCATCCCAGTCCCCATCTGGGTGCACTGGTGTCCCTTATCCCGTGGGGAAAGTGGGACAGGACTCACCTTCCTGGAGCTTGGCTGAGCCCAGGCAGCTCTGGAGCTCTTCCAGCCTCAACAGCTGCAGTGTTAAATCTCAATCCCCTCTATCATCTGCTGGTTTTTTAATACTCTCCAAAATCATCTGCATTTTCCCTTTTGTGTGGTTCCTGGATTTCCTGACACAAAGCCCTGGCTCGGGGGTGCAGCAGCCAGGAGGGAGGGAGGACTGGAAACACCCACACAAAACCTGATGGGATGCAGCTCTTCCTCCCTGCAGGTTTGCTGTTCATCACCCAGAAAACCTCCCAAAAGCTGCTGCTACCACGCTGGATGAGGGGGCTGGGGGATGGAAATGGGTTAATCCAGGCCAATTTAAACATTGTCCCTTTCCCTCCTCAGCATCCTGCTCCAGGCATGGGCTCAGCAGGAAGTTGTCTCTTATCCCCATGGGCTGCTCCAAGAGGGACAGGACCCCCTGTCCTGTGTCACCACCTCAGGTGAGATTCAGCAGTTGAAGCCACGGGGAAAAGCAGCTCAAACCACTGGAAATGGCCCTAAATCCTCCTCGTGCTCCCAAAAGCTGCTGGAGGGTTCCCATGGGTTCCCATCCCTGTGCTGCTGGGGTTGTCACCCTTGGAAGCCACCAGGTTTCATGGGATGAGATGAGATGTGCAGGTTTTCACTCTAAACTGTGACTGACTCTCCAAATGCTGCTCTTCCTCTTTGGGTTTTGAGTTTTTCCCAGCCTCTTCCCCCTGCTTTTCCACTGCTCTGGAGCTGAAATCTTCTCTCCAATGCCAGCTGAGCTGGTTGGAGCAGGCCAGGAGCAAAGGCTCCAAGGAAAACCACAATATTTTGGGAGCAGTGGTGAGGCAGGGAGAGTCAGAGGGAGTCTTTGGATTCAGCATTTTCTGCTGGGGCCTCAGCAGAGCCCAGGAGTTAATCATTCAAATATGCTTATGTGTAACTAATCTCTGCAGGACAATGAGCTGAGGAATTATTGAATGCAATTGAAATGGGGCAGAGTGGTTGCTATAAAAAGGGTGTCCCGAGCCAATGGGAGCCAGCAGGCTCCTATAAAAGCGGGTGGGGAAGGAAAAGCAGCTGGTGGGAAGAGATCCCCAAAATCCCAAAGCATGTCCTGAGCTGCCTTGGCTTGGGCAAAGATCCTCCTGAGCTGCTGCAAATCAGGCTGAGCCCTCTCCCAGCAGCTGTGGGGTCAGTGGGAAGGGCTGGATCTGCCTGGAATCACCTGGTGGAGCCTCAAAAGATGAAATCCTCCAGTCCTGTGAGTTGAGGTCAGATTTTGGGGGAGATTTGGATGCTCTTCCAGGAGTTGGGTGGGATCCATGGAAGGAGCAGCTGGTGGGAGGAGATCCCCAAAATCCCCAAGCACGTCCTGAGCTGCCTTTGCTTGGGCAGAGATCCTTCTGAGTTGCTGGAAATCAGGCTGTGCCCTCTCCCAGCATCTGTGGGATCAGTGGATGTGGTGGGAAGGGCAAGTGCTGTGAGTTGGGTTGGATTTTGGGGGGAGATTGGGATGCTTTTCCAGGAGCTGAGTGGGATCCATGAAAAAGCAACTGGTGGGGAGAGATCCCCAAAATCCCAAAACACCTGAGCTGCCTTTGCTTGGGCAGAGATCCTCCTGAGCTGCTGGAAATCAGGCTGAGCCCTTCTCCAGCATCTGTGGGATCAGTGGATGTGGTGGGAAGGGCAGGATCTGCCTGGAATCACCTGATGGAGACTCAAAAGATGAAATCCTCCAGTGCTGTGAGTTGGGTTGGATTTTGGGATGCTCTTCCAGGATCTGAGTGGGATTCATGGAAAAGCAGCTGGTGGGAAGAGATCCCCAAAATCCCAAGGTGTGTGCAGAGATCCTCCTGAGCTGCTGGAAATCAGGCTGAGCCCTTCTCCAGCATCTGTGGGGTCAGTGGATGTGGTGGGAAGGGCAGGATCTGCCTGGAATCACCTGGTGGAGCCTCCAGCAGTGAAATCCAGCAGTGCTGTGAGTTTGGGTCAGATTTTGGGGGGGAGGTTGGGATGCTCTTCAGGAGCATGGGAGGAGGTGGGATCCATGGCAGTGGAAGCCCAGGTGGGGCTGAGTTTTGGGAGCAGTGAGGGTTCAGCAGCGTTACCCTGTGGGGTATCCCTGGAGCAGACGCCGCTGTGGGGCCTTGCAGGAGGAACAGGGAGGTGAGGAAAGGGATGGGAATGGATTTTAGTGGATTTAGGGATTAGATCAGCTGGGCTGACCCCAATGAGCATCTCAGGGCCTGCCCTGCAGACTCATCCCTTGGCTCCCAGCCTTCCCAGCAGGTTTTGGCTCTATCCCTGATGTTGTTTGGAGCCTCACGGGATCCGGGTGCCGTTGGTGAACTCGGTACTGGCCACAGCTGGCAGGAGAAAATTCCTCCTGGAACTTTCTGCCAGCCTTCAAATCCCCCAAAGAAGTGTTAAGTGCAGTTATTTCCAGCTCCAGGGCACAGACATTTATTCCTCCCGATGCCACTGCCAATCCTGCCAAAAGCAGGAAATCCCAACATCTCCAGGCATCCCATTCCTCCTGCTACTCTTATTTTTTTTAGTTTAATAATATTTTATCTGTCTCTTTTTATGACTTTTCTGCCTTTTGTCCCATTTGAAGCCACAATAGATGATTTACAGCAACCCCCTCATGAAATCAGCCTTCAGCCCCCTTTTTTCTCCTTGCAAATCAGCAAATGGGTGTGAGGAGTTTTGGAGGGGATCATCCCTGCCCCAGCCAGATGCTCTCCCATCCAGCAAACGAAGAGCACAGCCTGTTTCCTGTTAAATCTTGCTGCTTGCATTGGTTTACATTGTTTGTCTGATGTTTTACAGCTTCCAAGCTGATGTTGCATTAAAGCTGGCTGGAGTTGAGGCAAAAAATGAGATGCAGGCACTGGCAGGGTTCCCCAAATGCATTCATGAGGGTTGATCCCACAGTCACATTTCCTCAGCCCCTGCAGGAGCTGTGTCCTGGCCGAGGCTCCAAAATATGCTTTTGGGACAATTTTGGAGTTTTGGGACAATTTTGGAGTTTTAATTGCGGGGCAGGTGGTGGAGGGATTGTGCCTTCTCCTCCCCCAGCCAGGTTTGGTGGCTCTGGGTGGCTCCTGAGTTTCTCTTGACCCCTCAGCTTTATTTACACTTTCTGTTCCTTGCTGTCCTGTTGAGGAGGGGAGTGAGGGAGGCTGGGTGGGCACCACCATAAGCTGGGGCAGAATTTTTTTATTATTTTTATAAAGAAGAACAACGATGGGGATGGGATTTTATTTCTGCCTTGTCTCATCTTTAACTGTGGGAATTTGAACTCCCCTCCTAAGAACCTCACAGAAAAGGGCTGCACCATCCCATCAGCAGCATTAATGAAATTCCTTCAGAGTTTTGATCCTGTGTCATTGGCAATGGGGTTTTTTATTTTATTTTTTCAGGGTTTGTGAGCTGCTTTCACTTTCTTGTGCCATTTCCAGGTGCAGATGAGATCATTCCTTTTGATCTCTTTATTAATGAGCTGGTGGATATTTATCTCATTAGGAGGCAGTGTGCTAAAACTTTACAAACTCAGGCCTTAATCTTGCCAACAACTGGGAATTTTCAGCCATTTAAACCATGGGACAAGAAATAAGAAACAAAAACTAAGAAATAAGAAATCCCTCTTCTCTTAAGGGTCGACTGAGAGCATCACACATCACCCAAAGCCTTCAGCAGAGACTTTATAAAAACTCCAGCTTAGCCAGTCTCTGTAATACTGATTTGGGTTTTTTTAGGGTTTTTTTTAATTTCAGGAAAACCTAAAGAAGGGGAAGGAATTAGGCAATGGGTTATTCTGGGATGTCCCCGTGCCGGAGATGAGCTCTCCTCCCGCACACGTCCTCGTGCCACATCAGCAGCTGTCTGCAAGCCAAGGACTGGGGAGATGCCTATGGCTGGAAAAACAGCTCCTTCTGTATTTATTGGACTTCCTAGCAGCTGGAAAATCCCAAAGATCTGCACCTCCAGGGGCTCCTGCAGCTGGGGGGAAAAGTCTTCCTGTGAAATAAATCCGTGTGATGCCTAAAATGCCTGTGATGAGGGCAGCATGGAGATGTTCCTGCCCCCAGAATTATTTCTCCAGATATGTGGCAAGGTCAGTTCATGGCTGTCCCATCTCGGAGCCAGAGGGATCAGGCAGAGATGGGGAATATGGAGCTGTTTATCAAAAAATGCTGCTTTTTAGAGTTGGAGCAAAAATCACCTTGATCCTCTCTGAGCCATGAGCATGTGAAGGTCAGGTTGTAAAAATGAAATTTGTGTTCTGACTTGGATAACTGCAGTTCAAATCCTCCTGAAATGGTGCTTGCAGCAGGAAAACCTTGCTTGGTGCTGGAGCAGGATGAGTCCAAACCCTGCAGGAGCCAGGGATCCCTGCCAGGCAATCCAGGAGAAAGCTGGAGGTGGAGATGCAGGCAGGTGATGCAAACCTGCAGTTTTGGGGGATCCCTGTGCTGGCAAACACTGGGAATGGCATTTCTGCTCCCACAGGGACTCCCATGGCTTGGTTTGGGTGGCTTTGAGCAAACCTTGCCCTGCCAAGGGCAGGCTCTGCACGGGCACTGCCATCGCTGCACAAGGGCCAGAAAAATCTCAGTAGCAAGGAAAAGCAATAAAAATGAGTGTTCCTCTGGGAAAAGCTGAGCCAGACGTGAACATCCTTCCAAGTTAACCACTGCCCTGGCTGGGTGTGTGGCTGACAGGTTTGCTCTGCTCCTAAAATCATCTGTGTGAGGATCAAGGCAGGATCTGGGTGCAGGAACGTCTCATTCTCCTGGGATGCAGCAAAATGTCATCAGCTTCATGTCTTGTGGCGCCTGTTTTCCCTAAACTCAGAGGCTTGTGGACACAGTTCTTGGATTTTCTCCTCCCCTGGGAATTTTAAGTCTTCCCTGAATGTCCAGGTTGGGTTTTTTTGGCTCAGCCTGCCCTTGCAGACCCTGCTGGGGTTTACCTGTGGTGCTGGGTGCCAGCTGCAGCCAGCAGTGGGTTATTCCCATTCCCTGTCCCTGTTCTGGTGTCTGGGATCACCCTCACCCCAAGGGTGTCTCAGAGCTGGCATGTGGACAGGGATCCTGCCCTGGGATCCTGCAAGGCACCACTGAGGGTTTCAGGGCTGTGCTGATGGAATCATTTGCAGTTCCCTTTGGCAGGAAGGTGCCAATCCCATTATTTTTCCCGTGGTTTTGTTCCCATCCATAAATTCTCAGATACCAGGATGGACCCAGCACATCCCTGCCACAGAGCCAAGGAAGCTCTGAGGGCTGCAGGGACAGGGAAGGGCACAGGCACATGGGGCTTGGGAATTTGGAACTTTACCCAAAGGCCAAATGAATTTCCAGAGGACAAGCTGAAATCCAACCCTGCTCCTTTGTGTGTGCTTTATCATATCCTGCAAATCCCTCCCTTCAGTTCCTTCTGTGAAGGCTCCAAACTTCTACAACGGAGCTAACAGAGATTTTTTTGAGCCCCTCACCCCTCCCTGCCTTTCCAAACTCCCTTTAGTGACTTCAGACATGAAAACCACAAGCACTGAACCTCCTCCAGCTGCTTCTCCATGAAGGAGAGATCAGAGATCCTTCTCATGTGAGACACAGAATGGGGTTGTGCCATTACTGCTGAGGGATTCGAGGGGAAAAAAAATCATATTTAACAGTTCTGGTAAGAACAGCTCACCCTGCTCAGGGCTCCTGGAATGAGCTGGACAGAGCCAGGGGGAAATTCTTTGCATTCTTGGGATTGGGAGGTGGAATTAAGGTGAAATGCTCCTGGAGGAGGGCCAGGCTATCTGGAGTAGCAAGCTGTTAAATATCACTGGACTTGAATTCAGGAATACTTTTGGAGTGGAGTTGGTTGCAGGAAGAGCATCGGGTTGGGATTCCAGGGAGGGAAAAAAAGCCTCATTTTGGGTTGTGAACGTGCCAGACTCCAGCTAGCAGAGGTCAGGGCCTGCTGCTGGGGCTGGGACACTCTGAGCTGCCCAGGCTGTGCCTGGCTCCTGCACTGCCCAGCTGGGCTCTGCCATGTGGGCTAAAAGTCTGCTGGGTGCTGTGGCTCACATCTGGAAATGAGATGCGAAAAAAAAAGCGTAATTTAAGCTCCTAGATAGCACCAGAACTCAGGGATGCTCCTTCTTCCTCCTCCCACCAGCAATCCCAGACACAGCTGGAAGTGAGTGTGGCAATGACTGTAAGCTGTGACAGTGATGGGGAAAACAGGGAAAAAGAGAAGAAAAGACGGAAAACGGGAAAAACAGGGGGAAATGGGAAAACAGCCACTTCTGCTCCTCTCAGAGCCCAACAAAACCCAGATTGTGACCCTGCAGCACCATCCTGCTCCCCCTGAGCTGCACCTTTGCCCCAGGGCTCATCCTTCATCCCTGCTGAGCCAACGAGGGGAATCATTCCCAACTTCCTGGGACCAGTGGAAATGTCCCAGCTGAGCCATTCCCGCTGCCCCTGCCCTTCTCAGGGTGTTTATGTGCAATATTTGTGCAATATTTGCTGGGTTATTTGATCTGTGGCTGCCGGGTGAGCACTGATTAAAGCAGAGCCCAGCGTGGGGCACCCTCTGCATCCTGGATTTCCATCTGCTCCATCCAGCAGCGCTGTTTTCCCCTTTTCCCTCAGAGAACAGCGTTTCCCCCACCCCCGAGGCACCGTTTGATTGGAAGGCTTTAAAAGGGACAATCAGTGTGAGTCACACTGAAAGCCATAAAAGAAAAACCAATAAAGCCATCTGAAAAGTGCTGTTTAATGGATCGAGGCAAACTTACTGGAAACAGGAGACAGATTGTTTCATCTTGAAATCGTTGCTTTAAATCCATCCGCATTTGGGAGCAAAGGACATTTATTCCTCATCAATAGTTGACAGGGAAAAGAGATTTGAAAGGGATTTTTCCACTTTTGAAAGGAATTGGGGTTTCTCTGGGCTCCCAGCAGCTCTCTGAGCACATTTAAAAGCCTTTCATGTGCTGGGTACTCTGGAAATTCAGAACTTCCAGAGCAGAGCTTTCCAGAGAATGAAAATAATTGTCCTATGGACATAGATCTGCTTGCATGGCAAATATTGATTTTCTTAGCAAATAAAATGCACCTGAGCTGAGCCACAATCACCTCTGGACAGAAATGCTCTCTCACTGTGGCTTTTCCCAGACTGAATTTTGGGATGTTGAATCCCTTTGGCTGATTCTTTCCCGGGCCACTTGGCAGGCATCACAAATCCGGGGAACGTCCTGTGGGATTGTTCCCTTTGCTGTGACCCTACAGCAGCACTGACATCTCTGCAGGCTGTTTGTCTGCAGCTGGGCTTCTGTTTGTGAAGGAGAAATGTGGTTTCAGTTGCATTTAGCTTTTGTATATCGTTGTGTTAACCTTAGCAAGTCCAACTCAAGGCGTTTTCCTGCTGGTGAGGAGCTGAACTGGATTTCCACAGGGAGCACTGGGAAGGAAGGGGTCAGGACAGGCCACACTTTTTGAGAGGTGAGTTCTTCTAGAGTTGTGCATTTCCTTACACAGCTGCACCTCCAGGGGCAGAGTCACCCTCACTCCTTTCCTGGCCTCGTCACCCAGCTATGGGGCAGAGTCGGGGTTTGTGCCAGCAGCTGGCTCGGGGTTTGTGCCAGCAGCTGGCTCAGGCTCTGGCTCGTGCTCCAGCTGTTCCAGATGTTTTCCCAGCCGCACACATGGTGGGCACGTGGCAGAGCAGGTGTGTGAGCCCAGGAGACACCTGAGCCGGGCTGTCAGTGCCTCTCAGTACCTCTCAAAGCCTTCGGCGTTTCTCAGTTCACGGCACTGCAGCCGCTTACCCAGACCAGCTCGGCGCTAACAGCCAAGCCCGGGGCAGAATCCGGACGGAGTTCGGTCTGTATTTGTAATTCAACAATCATTTTTGGTGAGCCGAGGGGGAGCCGCCAACATCTGCCCGGCACATCTGCTGCAGCGCCGCCCAGATGTGCGCGCCAGCTGTGCGGGGGGCGTGGCCACCGCCACGGCCGCGCCTCTTCCCGCTGTCAATCACCCGCCGCCACCCAATGACGGCCCGCGACACATCGAGGCCCGCGACCAATCAGGGCGTGGTTGTGATTTCCATGGCAGCCGCGCGGCTGAGGGGAGGCGGCGGCGGGGCCGCTCCCGGAGCCGCTCCCGTTCCTCGTCCCGCTCCCGATCCCGCTCCTCGTCCCGATCCCGCTCCCTGCCCACTGCCATGGTGCCCGAGCGGAGCCGCGGCGGCGGCGGAGGGGCGGCCGTGCCGCTGCTGCGCGGCTCCAGCGCGGCGCGGGGGCGGCAGCAGCAGCAGCAGCGCAGGTGAGGGGCCGCGCCCGCCGCGCACCTGAGGGGAGCCCGGGGCGAGCCCGCCCTGCCCCGCCCTGCCCCACCCGCGGCCTGAGGCGGCGGCCGGAGCGGCTCTGTCGGTCCCCGCCGTGGCGATCCCCGCCGTGTCGGTCCCCCCCCGGTGCTGCCGGCGATGCTCGGAGCACCGGGCACGCCGCTCCCCGCGGCCGAGCCCGCCCGGAGCATTCCCAAAGTTTCCCCGCGGGCTCCCGGTGCTTTTGTTCGGCGTTGGAGGGCCCGCGGTGCGCAGCGGGGACGGTGCTGGGTTTGTACCTGCGGACAGGTATGGAGTGGCTCGCCTTCCCCAGAGCAGCTTGTTCCAAGCCTCATCAATTTGGTAGTTTCACAGTTTGATGGTTTTACAGCAGGATGTTGGATCTGGCGCTCCGCTGGAAGTGGGTTTGCTGCCGCCGTTGGGATTTGCGTTTTGGTTTTGTGCGGATTTTGGTGGGTCTGGGTGGTTTTGCTGTTACTGAGGAGTTTGATTCTCCGCAGTACCTCAGTGTAGAACGGAGCGCTGAAATCCCTCTGAGGAACACAGAGCAGGAGCTCATCTACTCTCAGTGTGATATTTTCTCTCTGTTTCCCCCCTTTTTTTCTTCTTTTATGTGTAACTTTAGAGAGCACAAAGCCTCTGTGTGTCTCCAGTAAAATTCCTTTGGTTGAATTGTTCTCCAGCAGGAACTGTAGAAATTAAATACTGTTTGTTTTTGCATGTTGGTAGCTCTTTTTTGACCACTTTCTATGCAAATCCTGATAATTTACTGTATATGTTAGAGATGTAAGTAGAGCAGAATGGATAAAGATATTTCCTTTAATTTAAGCAGAACTTTTTAATTATGTGATTTTTAAAGTAATTTTAGAGGCCTTAGACATAGAAAAACCTAGAAGTGTTGATTTTTGAGTGCTTGGGTAACAAAACTGAAATGCATAAGTATGAGTATTTTTTTTTTACTCTGTATAATGTGATTGTAACAGAAATAATGAAAATATTATATAGTTGCTATGGAAAACTTCATATTATTCAGTCTATGGTAGTGAAGGTTAATTTGGTATTTTAAATTTTTTAAGGCTTTAGATTAAAAAAAAAAAAAAAAAAAGTAGGTTCAAGGAATGCAGATGTGTGACCAACACTTCTATGGTTCCTGCAGTGTGGGCTATAAGGGAGAGTTGTTCTCACATCTTCATTCCCTGATAGTAATCCTGTCCAGTTTTGTTCTGTCATTCTAGGAGTTGGCTGTCTTTCATTCCAGATGTTTTTATGCCAGGTGATTTACATCTTGTTTATTTGTGGACTCCTTGTTTCTTTGTGGAGGTGAATAAAAATTACTCTTTCTATTTTATCATCCTTTTTTTTACTCTAGGATTAATGGGAGGAGAAATCTGGGGCAAACAGCAGCAGGGTTTGAAGGCCATGAGGGCTTAAATAGCTGAAGATGGACTTGCAACTCAAGACTTCTTGATTTTGATTTTTTTGCTTCAGATTTGCTTCCTTGTGCAGATTCTGATCCGTGACTGGTGGCAACACAGATCCAGTTTTGGGGGATTCATTAAGGTGATTGTGCAGAGGGATAAAAATGCTTCCTGAATACTCAAATTGTGTTGGGAACAGGCTGCTAAATGAGGCTCTGATGGTTTGGGTGGCTGTGGCAGTGGTGCTCTGGGGATGTTTCAGTGCTGTTCCCTGGTGTTGTGCTCTGCCATTATCCTGTGCAATCATCTGTGGTGAGCACACTCAAACAGCTCCTTCAAGGGAAACTTTGATGGGATTCCTTCCTGAAGCTTTCATTTAGGGATGCTGAAAGAGCTTAGGGTAGATGTTCCTCTAAGAAATAACTCTTTGGTTTTTAAATGTATATTATTTTGAGGGTGATTCTTGAGCATTCCCAGTATCTGCTGCATTTCCAGTATTTATTTTAAGAGAGAAAAAGTGAAAGGTGCAGGAAGAGGCAGGGAAGAAACTGATAGAGTTGACATTTACTTCTTTAAATCCTAACAGCATTTTCATTTCTCCTCCTCCAGGAGATTGACAATGGATAACAGTACTTTGGGATATTTTCCTATTCAATTTAGCCATTGTAAAATTAATTTATTTTGTAGTTTAGGGTTAGTAGTCAGGCTGTGCATCAGCAACTTCTGTTTCTGCAGGGTGTATGTTGGAGCCTGCTCCATAAAGCCTGGGGTGGGGAGGGGTTGTTGTCATAGCCCCAGAGAATCAGGGATTGAGCAGCTCTCCTGAAGAGGAAAAGGAATCATAGGAGCATGGTAGGAAGGCATGAAGGGAAAGACAACTTTCCAATGGTATCAACTATTCCCCTGCTTCTCTCTTGCTCCTACTTTCTGGCACAAAAACTCCTTTTTTTATTGGCTTTTTGTTTAGAGGATGCATGTGGAGCCTCATGCCCTGTTGACACAGAGCTGAGTGTGACCTTTCCTCCCAGCAGAGTTCTCCAGAAGAGCTGAGCTCAAACTCTGGCCCTTTACATTTTTCAGAGCTTTACATTTAAACCAAATCATTTATCAAATTTAAATCAGAAAAGCCTAAGTTCAAGGGAATGCAAATGTGTGAAAACATTTCTGTGCTTCCTACAGTGGGAACTGTAAGGGCAACTTGCTCACTGCACTTGGAACAAATCATGAACAAATCCCATAAAAAAAGAAAATCCCATAAAATCTAAGCTGTGCTCTTTGTAGAAGGAGATCTGATGGTCAGAATGTGAGCCAGGAGTTCAGGCCGTGGAAGCAGAGGACAAGTTGATCACTGAAAAATGCTATATATATATATCTGGGGTTGTGTTTTATTTTGGGATGGATGATGCCACTGTCACTGCCCTCTCAGTTTAACCCTGGAAAAGCTCAGCTTGAACAGGAGAAGGGAGGTGCTCCCTTTGAGCTCCACAGTGAAAGGCTGAGCTCTGGAGCTCCAGAGGGAATGGAGCAGCTTTTATTCCTCTGCAGGGGATGTTTGAAACACCCACAAGCCCCAAACTAGCATGAAATGCAAATGGATGACTTGCCTCTTGACTAAGATAAAAATTTTCAACATTTTTTGGATGAACTTGAGGAAAAAGGTCTTGACCTGCTGCATGGAGGGGAGGGCAGGAGGATGAATTGTGTGCAGGAGAAGGAAACAAAGCAGTGCAGTGAGTTCTGCTGTGCTAACATCATCTGAGGCTGACTCATAGGCCTGACTTTTCTGGGCAGAAAATTCACTTACAGTTCTGCTGGCTGCACTGTCTTGTGATGAAACTTGTAGATATTAATTCCTTTTTTTTTTTTGGAGTTCCACATAAATTTTTCTGGGAATTGTTTTTTTTATCCTGGTGCTTGAAACTTGCTGCCAAAGGCCTCTCTACCATTGTAGTCTTCTAGGACTTGCTCAGCTCATGTTTTGTGTGAGAGGGCTGTGTTTGGGT